AGAAATTAACCTAAGGAAAGAAATTGTGGGGAACAACTTGATGTAACTATAACAAATTTAATTTACATAATAATAATAATCAATTAATGTTTGCTTTCTCTATCATAGCTTTACCGAATAAACTAAATTATTTGAAGCAATTATATAGGTGCAAAGGCAAATATATAAGGCTATTGGCTTATGTGTGCTTCAAAGTCTAGGTGGAGAACAGCAAGAAAGCTCTCATGGGACCATTTAATGCTCAAATTAGGTGCAATTGTGTGTAATATAATACCCATTCCAATTTCCAAGAATCTAACCTTTTTTTTTTTTTTTTTTTGGATAAACCCGGTAATTGTCTCTCAAACGTCTCAAACACAACACTCTAAGTATAGCTAGCACCAATAATTAAAGGACGTTTTTCATCCGACCACAAGAGGAGATGTTAAGATAATCTAATGTTGTATATTTACATTTCAATAATATTACATTTACAAAGTAGATATTTCTATTATGAATACTAACTAATCAATGTAATTAGAATCATACATCAACTAAGTATAAGATTAGTTGGTAGTTTAGTAGTCATTAAATATCTTCCTTTTACTAGTCGATTTTTAGCTATCACTTGAGTTCATAAAAATTTGGTATTAAGTAGGCATCACATGGTGAGGGCGTCTTTATAGACATAACACCCTCTCTTTATAAGCCAGTTTTAAAAGCGAGTTATATCTGTATGGACAAGGTATCCTCCCCTTATAAACCAGTTATAAGTGCGAGTTCTACCTTGTGAAATGATTACTTAGTATATATAATATTACACAAAATCTTATACTAAGTCTTTATCAATTCATATAGAGAGGCTTTTTTACTATAGTCTTTTACAGAAGCGAAGCTAGAAATCTTAGTCTTTTACAAAGAAGGTATCATCATGTAGATATTAAATTTAGAAGTGTCTCAATTAGCCAAAAATACCGTTAGCCAATAGGGGGTCTTCTAGGGTCCCATTTGTATTAACTTGTGATAAGGAAACTATTACAAAATTTGTGGATATGTGAAGACCTTCAAGCTTGTGGCAAGATATATATGTGTGGTTCCCGTGACTCAACATAGTTGGTGAATGTCTAGCTCTAGCATAAGAGAAGGGGAGCAATAATTGATAAATCCTTTCAAGGGTACGGAAATCAGGGTCTATTGAATACCCTACAAGCTTAATAAATCAGGTAAGTCACAAATGTGGTAGGTGGTAAATTTGTGAAAATCGAACACAAAACCTCTAGATAATCCAACCAGATAACTAAAGTCTTGCCATCTGACCACAAGATCAGTGTTTAAGGGAGCAATAATTGATAAATCTTTCAAAGAGTAAGCTTATTTTAGTTGAAGATTATTCAACCTTTCAAAATAGATATTCAACTCAACATAAACAAATAATATTTGTCATATATCATATGATGTGTATGGATATGTTTTTATAATAAGCATTTTGTTTGTTTAGTAGAATTTTTATAACAAAAACCCAAGTGCTTCTTCTAAATACATCCCCCATCAAGATTCCTTCCAAAACACTTCAATAAAATTCTATTAGTCAAGTAAAACTTGTCATCAAAACAAATGAAGCAATCATTTTTATGATTCCATAACACACAACACTTTATAATTGGTCAATGTAAGCGTCGTCACTAAGATTAAATTAAGTTTTAAGAGTAACGGGTTAGTAGTGCACTATATACAAAGTGAAGAGTTTAATTGCTGGGTCTGAATTTCAATTGATCCGACTGTATATGTAACAACACGATGGTAATTATAAGATGACGAGATAAATATATTACTTTTTTATAATCAACATAATATCGACACAAAAGTAACCACATCATATTAAATAACATGATAAGTATGTTTACACACAATTTAGTATTTTATGCAAACTAAAGTTTAAGGTTTAGGGTTTAGAATTAGATTTTAAGAGTAAATAGTTAGTAGTACACTATATACAAAGTAAAGAGTTTAACTGATATGTCTGAATTTCAACTGATCCGTGTATATAACAACACAATAACAATTATAAGATGATGAAATAAATATATTACCTTTTTATAGTCGATGTAGTATCGACACAAAGGTAATCACATCATGTGAAATAAAAGGATATATAAATAAATATCTGGATATATAAATAAATATCTTATACCTAGTTTGTATCGGTGCTACTATATACCTTTTAATTAAGTGGAGAGGACATTGATAGGTGAAGTAATTGCATAAACTCTTAATCAGTTATAAGCTAATAAACACACAATCTGGTTGGTAATTGGTTTGAAATTAAATTGATGAAATCTTCTTGCAATGCAATTCATGATGGGTCCAACTCCGACATTATTATTATCAAAGTGTTGGTAGATCTAGAATTACTTCAATGTTGAATCTTATCTACCTGACGTGTAAAATTAGATAAAATTGATATGGGGTCCTTCTTGTCTGCCCACTTGACCAAGTCATTCTTATTTTTGATCCTATAATCTTGGGCTTCCTTCGCTTTAACCCTAGCTGGTGGCTCTTTTCTTTTGCTATTGACTTGGCTTGGCTTTAGGAGAGTGTACATGTTCATTTCTTGCTATGCAATTCTACTAGTGGGCATTTTCTAAACCTAAAATTATGCACTAATGGTAATCAATAGATAGAGATGAGCCCACAAGAGTCATCTAAAATTAGATTTATTGTTCAACTTTTCATCTCGTTAAGTTTCGTATGAGGGTAATCAATACATATAAGAAATATAATAAATGAAAAAAATTATACCACTTAAGTGTTTTATGTATCAGAAAGTGATGAAGATATATAATTACCTAATTATTTATCATATTATCCAATATATGTAATCTTAATCTTATTAAAGTTTAGTAACACGCTCATATCAAAAGATGCTTCATTATTCTTAATTTTTTTTTTTTTTTTTAATAACCAGGGGTTTAATCCCCGAGACTTATTGAACACTCTACAAACCTAACAGATCAAGTAAGTCACAAATGTGGTAAGTAGTCAATGTGGAGACTAGAACACAAGACTTCTAGGTAACTCACTCAGATAGCTAAGGTCTTGTCATCTGGCCACAAACCCAGTAGTTAAATAAAGGGAGAACGACACTTTCCCACCCAAGGTTTCACGAAACGACACTCTCCCACCCGCCAAGTTTCAAAACGACATTTTTCCACCCACTTTCTGTTAACCTTAACTGAAGAAGGACAAAACGGTAAATTTATAAAACAGTCATAGGGTAATGAAGTCATTTCACCTCGTATATGGATAACCTTATAGAAACCCTACCTTTCTTCCCCACCCCTTCATACCCCACTATCGTCTCCACGGTCCACCCCTATCCACTCCACCGCCCCAAAATTGCACCTGGTTGTCCTTAACTCCATGCGATTCGGTCATAATCGCATAAGACTAGGTGTGATTCCGACCGAATCGCATCTGGTCTCCACACCCCACTGTCGTTCTCCACCCCTCCCCATCCTTCTCCATCCCACTGCCCCAAAATTTCACCTAGTCGTCATCTTTTCCATGCGATTCAGATGGAATTGCATTTGACTAGGTATGATTCAGCCTAAATTACACTTGGCCGAGTGCGATTCTAGCCAAATAACATTCGGCCAAATCGATTTCGCCCTTATACCCAATGTTGTGTGTTGTTGAATAATGGTTTGTGTATTATTGATTGGTGTTTGGGTGGCCGAATTTAGGTTGTTTGATGATGTATTTTTTTTTCGAATTCGTGTTTGCTTGATGGTGCATTTCCAAAAAAAAAAAAAAAAAAGTGTTTGCTTGATGGTGGATTTTTGGCCGGATTTGTGTTACTTAGTGATGGATTTGGGTTGAGCATCCAAGGGTTATTTAGCCGGGTGCGATTCCGAATTGATTTCTCCCTTAAACCCAATGTTTATCTTTTGTGTGTTGTTGATTGGTGCTTGTGACCGAATTTAGGTTGTTTGGTGATGGATTTTTTGCCAGATTCGTGTTTGCTTGCATTTCAAAAAAAAAAAAAAAATAAAAAAAAAAAATAAAAAAAAAAATGTGTTTGCTTGATGGTGGATTTTTGGCCAGATTTGTATTTACTTAGTGATGGATTTGGGTTGAGCATCGATGGGTTATTTGGTGCCCTTGCCAGTGATTTGCAGCAGTAGCAGTTGACAGCATAGCACAGGTGCGATTCCGACCAACTATTTTTGCTCAGTTTTTTTATTTTTTTATTTCCAAACTATGGATTTGGATTTAGATTCAAATTATAAAGGGTGTTTTCATCTTTTCTATGATTATACCATGTTAGTTGACAAAGTTTACTAACGGATCTTAACAGTGGGTGGGAAAGTGTTGTTTTGAAACTTGAAAAGTGGGAAAGCGTTTCGCCAAACCTTGGGTTGGGAAAATGTCGTTCTCCCTTAAATAAATAATTAACCGCTTCCTTGTAGCTGGATGACAAGATTATCTTGAAATTTAAAGACAAGACCTCTGGATATAACACCTAAAGGACTTTTCATCCGGCCACAAGGAACAATGCAACATCCTTCCGATGAAATCATACCCATTAAAGATTAAAGGAGAAAAGCAATAAGATCAACCCAATATAATCTTAATTTATATCATCTAAATATATAGTTAGAACAAATTACTGAAATTAGAATGAAATTTTATCCATACATTTTCTTTTCTTTTTTCTAATTTGTTGTTCTAAAAAACTTCATCTACACATTAATTATAGTTAGTAAATAAAACGACCAAGCTCTCTTAAGTCATAATTAGAGTGATGAATTTGAAATCAATTCGATAAAAATAGACCAATTATATAAATATAATTAATTTATTTTGATGGCTCAAAATGAAGCCATATTAGCCGGAGCCATTGCAATGACTTTAGCCATTAATCTTCAGGTTTTCAACTCTCTTCTTCATCATCATCTCTCTCTGAAACCCGTCTATAAAATCCCTAAAACCACCATTGTTTTCTTACGAAAAACAATAAGAAAGTGAGCTCTCTCTTCACATCCCCACATATCTATCTTCTATCTACGTTTCGCTCCCTTCTCTCTAAGTAACAGTCGTTTTGGGTCCATCAACCAACCCCAAAAAAAAAACAAAAAAACAAAAAAACAAAAACAAAACCAAAACCTGCCCATCATCGGTTGTTACACAGAGAAGCTAAATAATAAGAACAATAATTTTGATACATAAATATTGAAATCATGGGGTTTCTTCATAAGCTCTGGGACGAAACGCTTGCCGGGCCTGCTCCGGAAACGGGGCTTGGCAAACTAAGGAAGTACGATTCATTTTCCGGGACAAGATCTCCACATTCACCGGCTGTTAATGGAGCCGATGATGTTGCGGTCACTAGGAGTATTACGATTCTTAGAAGTAACTCTAATTTTAGAAGCTTATCCTTGGATCCTGGTTCTGCTCCGGAGTCTCCTGCTGGGCCTGACACCCCCAGAACTCCCAAGACACGTGAGTTCATTTCTTCTTTCTCCATCAACATGTAAATATTTTTTGTTTGTTTGCCAAGAAACGTGAAGGAAAATGAAACTCCAAAGATCTCTGAATTTTTTCTCTTTCTTTTTCATTTGAATTCACGTGATTTGTTCCCACAAGATCTGGATTTGAGAGCCCCTTACGGGTATTTGTCCAGTATTTCCTCAGGCTTGTGAAGCAAGGAAATTAATGCAGGATAATCTTCTAATCTGAACCATGAAATTAATGTTATTTGTTATGCATGTGTGCAGCGGGAACACCGGGCGGGGATTTCAAGAAATTTACGAGAAGAAAACTATCAACAGTGGCATTAGAACGTGATGCTGATGAGCCTAGAAGTCCGACAGTTTACGATTGGTTACTTCTCGTTTATGTTTACTATTAATGAAAAACAAATTCGATCTATGAAAAACTATACAATATTTCATGTTCTAATGAGTACGATGTGTGTGTTACAGGATCGTGATAAGTGCTTTGGATCGTTGAGGAGAGTTAAAAATGGCGATTTTGCAAGAAAGAATCGGCAGCAACACACTTTTGTACATAGAGAACCGTACCTTTGTGGAAATTATATCTAATATATCTATATCTATATATAAATATTTAGCCTAAGCTATATGTTAGCAACTACATGAAGAAGATGGTTCAGGGCGAGAGGATCAGCCATGGCAGAACAAGCTAGCTGAACCAATCAATGATGCTTCTTGGAGTTTCAGAGAGAGGGAATTCAGAGATAACTTTGCTTCTTAATTGGGAGTTTAGAGTTTCTTTATTTATTTTTTATTTTTTGTCTTTTTTCTTTTGATGATGATGATGATGAAGATGAAGATGAAGACCCTTTTGTATATAATGTTGTTGGGTCTGGTCGTTCTGGTTTTTTTTGTACATATGGATTGTGTATCCTGAACCTTCTTTCAATGAAACTAGACTGAAGCTTCTTGCATCTGAAGAAATTTCCCAGTTCTTTGATTATTATTGTAATATTATTGAATTGAGTTGATTGAAATTATATTTCTAACAAATGGTACTCACTTATTAGCTTAAACTGGTATCTGAACGAAATGATTACTTACTAAACTATTACTTACTTTTTTCTTTTTTTGATAATCGAAGTATCCGGGTCAACTTGACGTACATCTCAACTAATCCTATTTTTTCTTTTTTGATAATCAGTTTATTAGCTTAAACATATTTTTGAACAACGTGATTATTTATTAGAATATTACTTACTTTTTTTCTTTTTTGGTATTCGGGGTATTTGGGTCAGCTCGTGTCTATCTCAACTAATCCTATTTTTTTCTTTTTTGGTAATTGAGGTATTACCTTAAATTCGTTTTTGAACAACGTGATTACTTATTAGACCATTACTTTCTTTCTTTTTTGGTAACGGGGATATCCATACCAGTTTACGTCTACCTCAACTAATCCTACTTTTTTCTTTTTTGGTAATTAGGGTATCCAGGCCAGCTTGTATACACATCAACTAATCCTCGGAGTCCATCGAACACCCTATAATCCCAATGGGTCAAGTATATGACAAATGTAGTAGGTGTCCACTTTGTGAGACTCAAACACAAGACCTCTGGGTCACCCAAAGTCGTGTCATCCAGCCACACCTAAGTGGTTATTACTTACTTTATTTGATAGCTTAAACTGATTTTTGAATAAAATGATTATTCAACATAATTTAGAGTTAAAATTCCCATTCGGATAACATATTAACATTTGAATTTTCCATTTCTTTTGTGTGGATTTGATTTGACCTTGTTAAAAGTTGTATTTATCTCACATTACCGATTTAGTAAAATGTTGTGGTTAGACTTCCTACTCTCTTGAGTTAGTTGAATAAGGATGAATAACCAAACTGTCAAATTCATTTTTTATTTAATTATATATTTTACTAAACTTAATAATTAATCATAATGTCAATCAAAATATTGTCACTCATCACTATCAACAGTCTTACGAGGACTAATAAATAACATAATAAAAACTTTGATAAAACTAAATCTGCCTAGTTTAATTCGGGAGTGTCAAATATATACCATATTAATTACCTTCCTGTCCTGTACAGTATAAACAAATTCAAAGATGAGCTCAATATTCAAGCAATTCTAGACTATTTCTATTTATTTATATTCCACCTAAAAAGAAATAAAAAAAGACTCTTATCACTAGATGGCCCAATCCAAGAGATCAACGTTTTCAATTGAATTCACAAGTTTTGGAAGTAGGCCCTTTGGCATTGGTCCCCTTGTCAATTCAACTACTTCCTTAACTCCCATTACATTTTTGTACTAGCATTACAACAAAAATCCATATTTTCTAGGGTTTAAAATCCTTAAAAAAAATCAAAATGCCCTCAAATGTATATATTACGGCAAATGGCTGTCGGAGTTCGTCGATGTATCTTTTGTAGATTTTCAATCAATAAGAACTAAAAAAAGAGTACCGACATGAAGAATTCAAGAGAATCGACCTTATAAATTCTTTAGTGATATTAAAGAGTGATGTTAAATATACAAAGTTAGGATCTGACTGATGTGGTTATCAATGTGTGAATACTATATTAATCGTAAGAAATATAGTATCACACCACAAAATCCTACATTTAATGTGATACTGAAATATCATCAGTCACATCATTTACGATCCCAACTTTATATACATAGTATTACTATATTAAAAAATAATCTCTTAACCAATTACTACAACCTAAAGGATCAATCACCAATATTCGATCCATCATAACATGAAACACATTTTCAAAGCATCATATATTAAACAAAAATAAAAAATGGAATAATTAATTAATTAACATAGATTTTGAAAACACATAGAAAGTAAGGCCATGGATTGACCTTATTCAAGAGCAAATCAATAATTTAAACAATTTGGGCACCAAAAATGTGGGTTTAATAGTGAATAAAGGTAAACCGATCAAGTAAAAAGATTGAAAAATTGTCTTCTGTGGTTAAAAGATATAGAAGCTTTAGATTTTGTAAGGCACTTGTGAGGTTCCCTAGATGATGAATAAGTACTTAATTTGCAAGCAACCTAGCCACAAGAGAAGCAGTTGCCAGAATCGATCACATGCAGATCCAGAAAATTAGGTTCGAATTGATTAGTAGCAAGAAAGCAAGCAATCTGCAGATAAGATCAGATCTCTTAAGTGACATAAGATTGCTTAAGCGATCGGCTGTTATCTGCAGTCTTGAACAGTAGATCGTTTAAGCGATCTAAAGTCACTGAAGTGATCTGATGTTCAGATCTGCTGATAACAGCCGATCACTTAGACGATTGGTTGTTCAAATCTGCAGATAACAACCGATCGCTTAAGCGATCTGCGCTTATCTGCAGATCTGAATATCAGATCACTTAAGCAACCTGAGATTGCTTAAACGATCCACTACTTAGATTAGATTTGAACACCAGATCGCTTAAGCGATCTGCTACTCAGATCAGATATGGTGAGAACCAGATCGCTTAAGCAACGTAAGGTCGCTTAAGCAATCTTTTCTTATATGCAGATCTGACTAATATATCGCTTAAGCGACCGAAGATCGCTTAAGCGATCTGATGGAGTTATTATGTTTCTCTTTTGTGGTGCATTAAATTGATTTTATGTCCCTGTATTTTCGGCTAAGTCATCAAGAAGAAGGATGAAATCGAGAGAGTTGCCAAGGCCAACTGTTGAAGAGTTGTTGTTTTCAATTTTTTATATTTTAAATTTAATTGTTACCTTGAATAAATCATCATTTATAACGTATCAAATCAAATTAATTATTTTTCATTTTCATCCATTTTACAAAGGATTTAAGTAAGTAAAATTTCGTATATTACCTTTGTACAGCATTGATTGCTGCCCAAAGAAGTAAGACAAGCAAAATAAATATTATCAACATAATTGTCGTATCAAGACAATCAATCAATCAATCAATCAGTTTACTGAATTAGTCACGAGTGTGGCACGTTAGTAGAAACATAATTCATTTCTCAATCAAACGTGCACAATATCAAAAGATCGGTGAGAAAAGAAGCAAAATGGCCTTCCTCGCTTAAGCGACTAAGGCCAAAAGTTAAGAATCGCTCAAGTGATCTTGATTTTGCCTTATACATGATCGCTTAAGCGATCCTAGATTGCTTAAGCGACCAAGGGCAAAAGAGAAGAATCGCTTAAGCGAGACTTTAAATCACTTAAGTGATCCTTCACTCGGGTGACTATATACAACCTTAGAAATGATCGCTTAAGCGATCATTAAGCGACCAAGGGTAAAAGATAAGCATCGCTTAATGATCTTGATCCTTGCTCGTATGTGATCACAAACGCGACTGAGGTTTAACATACTGGATCGTTTAAGAGAGAGAAAAGATCGCTTAAGCGATCCACTATAGTCGGATGACCTTTATTCTGCCTTTGATAAGATCGCGTAAGCGATTTATTATCGCTTAAGCGACCAAGGCTAAATAGACAGTATCGCTTAAGAAAAACAAGGTATTGTTAAGTGACCAAGGATAAAGAGGTAGGATCGCTTAAGCGAAACAATATAACGCTTAAACGATTAAGGGTAATTTACTTTGGTACTTTCAAAACATTAAAATTTGTATTATATAGAATCATTCTATACTTTAATATTTCTTTTTCATGTTTATGTCAAGACTTAAAAGAATTAATTTAATTAAAATATAATTTTGAAAAAAAATCGATGAAGTGATATAAATAATCAAATCAATTGACACAAGACAGATCATGGTCCACTGAACTAATAGTACAGTCAAAATTGAAGCTTATTTCAATCTAATCGTTCTCAAATACATCATCTATATTTATGAAATCAAGACATTGCTACTAACATGTCATGCTAGTGCGCTATTACATTCATCCATATATCATACGGTTGTAACATTAATATGTGTTGATGGAATTATGTTGCAAATAATCTTTCTTAATTGGCCTTAATAAGTGTTACTAATCGATGTTGCTTAACATTAACGTTAACAATCATGTGATGTTATGAACATCCGAAGTTCACATTAATGTCATTTACTATGGGGTTAAAAACCTACTCCAAAAAAAATAAAATAAAATAAAATAAAATTGCTTAAGAGATCATATCATTGCTTAAGCGATCAAGTGTTTATAAGCTTTCATCGCTTAAGCGATCTTGTGAAAGTCAATAAAAATAATCAGAATACACTGGATCGCTTAAGAGATTTCATTTCTCACTTAAGCGATCTTGTGCATTTAGACCTAATCGCTTAAGTGATCTAGTAAAGTCGCTTAAGCGATCACGCACAAGCAACAATCAAGACCACTTAAGCGATGCTTCACATTTACCCTTGGTCGCTTAAGCGATCATGTCCAAAGTCGCTTAAGCGATCATGTCCAAAGTTGAATCAGGATCACTTAAGCGATACTTGACTTTTACCCTCTGTTGCTTAAGCGATCATGTACAAGGCAGAATCAGGATCTGCCCAGATGCACGATCGCTTAAGCGATACTTCGCTTTTACACTTGGTTACTTAA